ATTGGCGCACACCCTGATTCTAGGTGTGGGCAAGGATGTAGAAAAATGCTAAAAAAGAAAGAAATGGGGGTGGAGGTCTCCTCTTTGATGTCGAGTGGTTCTCTTTTTTTATCTTGTCAGTTTGTTTCCCATCCTTGCTCTTAGGGTTTAGCCTTGGAACTAATTTCTTGAAGTTTAGTTGAATTGGGCAGAGAATCACTTGACTTATGGTGTGGTGGAACCTACTAGGTTTTGGGATAGTGGATTATTCATGAATTTGTGATGAGATTAGAGATAAAAGTAGAAGTTGAAAATTGAAAAGCTAAAAATGGTGCATGTAGAAGGTCAACGGACCTAGCTTTAGTCTTTTTTTTTTTTTTTGCTATTTATCAAATAATAATAATAATAATAACAATAATAATAATAATAAATTTTAAAAATAATTTTTTTTGAAAGAAAAAAATTCGAAGGTAAATAGATTGCTTAGTCCTCAAAGTCAGAATAAGATGTGCTGTACCTGATAGCTTAAGACAATTGACTGTAGGTCGTGCATTCAAGATAACTCCAACAAATAGCCACCGACAAGACTCAAATTTAAGATCTCTTCATTGATGAAAATGATTTTAATTGATTGAACCAATCACTTGTTGGTATTCTAAAAATAATTAGATAAATATAATTGGGTTTTAAAATCAAATGTTGAAATCAAAATTAAACAAACTTAAATTAATTGGATAAAATTAAGTGTGTACAGAGATGTGTAATGAAAATTGGGTGATTTTGTGCCAGCCTCGGTGGATTTTATACTGAATAAGGATGGATTGCCAACATCCCCTTAAATGTTATTTTAGACCATTAGAGTACTGAGTTACTGAGTTGGGTGTTCTCTTTGTATTCTATTGGATGTTTGTAATTCTGCTTAGAAAGTAATGAAATATTATTGATTTTTGAATTTTTTTTTTTTATTATCCATGATTTTCAAATCTCAAAAGATTACGTTAAAGTCTAATTTTTTACATGTGTTTAATAAACACTCCAAGAGAAATATAAAAAAAAAATTATGGTAACAGTGTTTTAAAAATACTTTTAAATTTATTATATAAAATAATATTTTTCTATCATTAAATTTAAAATCAGTATATTTAAACTCTAGTTAACAAAAAAAAAAAAAAAAAAAAGAGAACGATAACGATCCTTTGAATCACCTTCACCTAGATTTATCTATTTATTTTATGGTCTCCTTTATACAATTTTCAACATCAGACTTTTTTATTGTAGGTGCGTACAAGCCAGCTAAGATGATGGCACGTACATTTTTAACATGGTCATGACTACATCATTATTTTACTTTGTACTTATGATTAAGTATAATTGAAAAGATTAAAATTTAAAATGTTAAGCCTAATAAAAAAATTTTCGTATTATTTATTTTAAATTATAATCTTGAGAGTGAACAATTTAATTTATTTTGATCATGGGCCTCTATCAGGCCTTGTCGGAGCCTACATTGACCCAGAAACTTGGCATAATATTTTCTCTTGGTCACGCTCCTCTTCGCCTTAACTAATCATCTCCTCCAACAAAATAAGCAAATAAACAATGCTCTCTTGATCTTGCGCATCTTAGATTCTCTCCACCTCTGTCGACAAATTTCAAGTTCCCTAAACTTAAACATTTTAGAAAATACTGCCAGCACCTTTGAGTTATAATCTCTCAACACCCCCCCCCCCCCCCCCCCACAACCAGCAGGCCCTGGCTTACCTTTCACAGAGTCATCAACATTAAACTTCAGAACACCCTCCTGAGGAGGAACCCAGCAACAAGTAATATAGATCTACCAGGTTTACAAACAGATGAAGGAACAATCCACTGGGTTAATCCACCACAAAGAATCCGAAATAACAATCTCTTCCTTATTAGCTTTAATCCAAAATAAAGATTAGATCTACGTTTGACAAGAAACAACAGCTTCTCAATGTTAAGTTTCTTATTTTCGATAACGACCTAATTTCTCATTAGCCATATAGACCAACATGCAGCAGCACAAGTTACGATCCACCAAACTTTCAACAGACCAGTAAAAGGGCTCTCAAGACATTGTAGAAGCAGAAACTGATTCAATGATCCTGGAAGACACGATTTAATATCCCACCAAAGCAGGAAACCACACCAAAATTCATAAATGAAATGACAAAGTCACAAAATAACATCAGATGATTCACTTCTTCAACCTCCAGATTGCAACAAGGGCAAAAGACGTTGAGCATTAGCTAAAGGGATACTTTGATCTTTCAGAAAAGACTAGATCGGTATTCTGCCCAAGATAATGAGCCATGGGAAGCATTGTACTTTAGGAGGAATATTAACCCGCATAACTCTGGCATATCCGATATGTTGTTAGATTGATTAAGTAAGACAGTCATCAGCCTTACAGTCTTCGATGCCAAGGATAATATACTAGTCGTAGACAACGTTGGTCTTTATCTGTGAAGCCACGTGCACATGGTACGAAATCAATGACTGATTACCGTACGCAATCTCTGGCCATGTTCGCTCGCTTTATGGCTTCTTCAAGATTTTGGGACCTGAAATTCTCTTCTGCTGCACATAAAAAACCCTGCATGCTTTGCGGAGGCATGATTGCTTTAGCTAAAAAAAAACATAGCCAAGTTTGATAAGATTTAATTGTTACCAAAGAAAGAAACGAATAAAAATTGCAACACTGATTAGTTATTATAATATGAGTTAATAAGTTAAGAATTCATTTTTGATACATAGATAAAATAATTTTTTAATTTCACAAACTGACTATCACATATTTAACTTATTTTTAATTATTTTTATTAAATTATAAAAAATATTTGTCATTTTTATTAATTCTTACCATGTTAATTAATATGATAATTTTTCATTACTTAATATGATCCATAATGGAGGAATTTAAAATGGAGGTGAATAAGAATTCATTACTCAATAAGAATTTCTATTTTTTCCAAATAATTTAAGGACTCGTAATATTTATGTTCTATATCAATTACGAGTCATGTGATGTAGAATTACATCCTAAAATATTAATATTACATGTAGAATTACCTCGATATAACTTTTTTTTATTAATGATACTAAATGCAATATTTAAAAAAATGATATAGAAAGGACTGCTTCGAAAGGAATAAAAAAGAAAACTAATGAGAATTTCGGCCTCGAAGAGACAAAGTCCTCCTTAATTATGCAACAATAATTTGTGAAAAATTCATTGAAACTAGTAGAAGAGTCAAAGAAGCAGAGTAACATTCTTTTTTTTTTTTTTTTTTGATGAAAAGAAATCAGAGATCGTTAAAACTCCATGAAGATGCAAGACATGATGCAAGACATGATGCAAGAAATAGCAACGCTTGTGGGGCAATATAAGGAATGACTTTCAAAATATTTGGCTGCAAAAGTATCACTTATGTCTTATGCTACCGCGGTTTGACCCCCTAGTCTTCAGTGACAGATTTGTCTGTCAGTATCGTCGCGCGTTTAATTAGATTTTTAGGCGGCGCGTGAGACGGATCCTTGGCCTGGCCGTACTCACCCTCCTTCACGCTATCAACTTCCATTTGCTACGGGATTGAATCTTTTTATTTATTTATTTAATTTTTTCATCTCAACTGTGGCACGTTTTAGGATAATTGTTGAGTTTTCATTTTTTATTTTTAAGTTTTCGATTAATTTATAAAATGTGGGTTTTGAGCACGTGTTGAAATTGGAAGTCTGACATTATCTCAAGAGCAGTGGGGCACTCAAAAAGTTGATGGAAAAAATACGATTTTTTAATAGGCTTCCTTCCTTTCATCCTTTTATTTTCTGTGGATGCAGTGGTTTTGAAATGGTGAACACATAACTTTATAATCAATTTGGTATTGCATAGTGACCAAGGAAATGAAAGAGATTGCTAAAATTACAAATAAAACAAAATGATTACTTGGTTTCATCATATTTCTTACAGAAGAAATCAGAATTTGATGTAATTAAACATTCTCTCATAAGTAATACACATCAAATTCTATATAAAAATATAAAAATTTAAATTTAGTTGTTAAGATTAAAATTTTAATATTTTATTAACATATTATGTAATTATGGATAAAACTTGATATTTCACAAGCTAATAAATGGAGTCAAAATTATGCTCTTGTCACCGTTTTTCTTTAGGTTGGAGTGATTTAAAAATATTAGATTTATATGTTTGATATGAGGTGTCAGTTTAAAAATCATAATAATTTGTATTCGATAATTATATTATTTTATTTGATAATAATTTAAAAATTTTTTATGGTAGTGATTTTAAAAGGATAATAAGATTAACTCATTTGGGGAGTGATTTGATTTCTAGAATGAAAATTTTTTATCACAGTTAAAAAATAATTTTTAATATTATTTTTGACTATTTTGCTCAGACAAAAAAATTTAATAACATTGCCTCAAATTTTTTTTAAGAGTACGAGATCGATTTCTTTTTTTAAATAAAAACTAATAGTATATATATATATATATATAGCAATAAAAAAGTTGAGCAGCCTTGAATTAATTTGTCCTTGTTAATTGTGATGAAGAGTAGCTTTTTGCCTACTTTTATAGATTGATAAAGTGTTAAAATTATACACATAAAAAAAAGTGAAAATTGTAATTTTTTTTTATCAGAAAAGTTGAAGATTATAATCAATTACATATGTCAATGTCATTGTAAGTTCTAGGATACCAATTTAGATTTTATATGAAAAAAGATCACTCTAGACAAGCATCTTTATATATAATGAAGATAATCTTAGGAAGATATTAAATCCAAATAAAATTTGAAGATATTTTATTAAATTATAAAAAAATGTAAACAAATTTCTAAAATATGATATATTGACCGATGTAGTGTAACTGTCCAAGTTCTATGAGTACAGCATGATATTTCTAGAAGCATTGTCCAATGAGGGTGACCCTAGATCATACGAAAAGCCATAAACCGAAAAAAAAAATCTTCATAATTCCGTTTCAAGTTCGAGTTGAATTTTATTAGCTAAAATCTTAGGTGAACAAGCGGCAGCTGTCTTGCAAATGCCAAGCGATGCCATGCATGTCAACACAGCTGCCATTTGAGAAAAAGAAAAAAGAAAGGGAGACCAAATGCCATGTCCTACTCTGAAGAATCCACTAATGCCAAATCTGAATTCTCGGTTCTGACCCACCTTAATTTCCTGGAAGAGGCCTTTTCTTATAATTCCAATATCAAGCAATGCCAATTCCGGACCCAAGAAAAATTAATGGTCGCTCGGTAGGGAGACAGACGGTACGAAAAAACCTGGACCGTTCCCCCCTGATGAAATTCAATTTTCAACCATCACTCTAGCTGGGAAAAAAAAAATCAGAGACCCTGGCAGCTAAAATTCGCCAAGCTCCTGATTATCTAACTACCTCTATATATCCAAGAAAAGAATGACCAAAAGAAAAAGACTATTACACTTTTTAAGTACTCCAATTGAGGCTTAGAAATTCCAAAGAAACGATGACTGTGATAAATCGTCGCCACCGTTTTGATCATCATCCAAGTTATCATCAGTAGCCGGAGGGTAGATCAGTTGGTCACCAGGGAAGTGATCAAGCCCTGGATAAAAGCCATAATCGGGCATCCCTTGGTTGGTATCCAACATGCTTAAAAACGACGACCAATCTATCATTTCATGACCCTCCACTTGTGTTGCCGCTCCCCCATCTGACGCTGACATCGATGAAGACGATGTGTACTGTTCTGTCCACACATTGTTGTTGTTGTAACGTAAATGAGATTCATTTGAACTAATATTAGTATTATCCTTGTTATTTCCTTGAATCCTATCAGCTTCCACCTCGTTAGCAAACCTGGCCGCTACCACTTGAATTTCTTGCGGGCTAAGTGACCTCCCTCCAACGATTTCTGGTGGATTGTCAGGGAAATTGAACTTAGCATCACGGCCACGTAAACAATAAAGAGCCGCATCAAACGCCCTGGCTGCTTTCTCCGCCGAGTCGTAAGACCCTAACCAAATACGCTCACGGCTGTTGGGAAGTCGAATTTCGGACACCCATTTACCCCATTTCCTCTTTCTTACACCCTTGTACTTTGAACTATTACTTGTGTCCGAGACATGCTCCGTGGGTGATGTTGAAGATTGTCCGCAGGTTGGCTTCATCAATAAATCCCCACCTCAAAACAATATTTAAGTATTAATTTTTTGAAAAAGGGTCCCTGCTATTGTGACTAAAAAGGTTGTTTCAATCTTCAGGCTGAGGTTCGGATAATGAAAATGGCGGCTCTTTGAGAGTATATATAGGGGAGCAAGGGTGAATACTGGAGAAGTTGAGTGTTGTTTTTTGTTGAAGGATCTAAGCGTGTTGAAGAGGAGTAAAGAAAGCGGGTACGTGGCAGTCGTTTAAAGGCCAAACCCAGGTAGAAACGCGGTAAGAACCGTAGGCGAAAAGCACATGTAAATATTTGGGCATGTTTTTCTACGTTTGGTCGTTTTTTCCTATTTATTTAATAATATAATAATAATTTTATGAAAATATATCGAAATTTAAATATTAAAATTTATTAAATATCATTTTTTTAATTAACTGTAAATTAGTGGGATAAAAACTCGGTTTTTATAATAATGTAAAAACAGTTTAAGCCAGTAAGAGAGAGTAGAAAAGAAGCAATGGTCGGTCACGGGAGGCTTCCTCCTTGCGTGTTGGATTTATGCTATTTGCAGTCTATCTTAAGGCGCGTAGCAACACACTCTTTGCTTTGCTTTTACCATCAGATCTGGGGGCCCGGTATTATCTGTTACATTAAAAAAAATTTGGACTTTTGCATGAAAATTGAATTAATTGTATTGTAGTTAATGCTTTTTTTTTTCTCCTTTTGGGTGAGCTAGCACGATGATTCTATGAAAATTCTTGAGTTAACTCAAAGTATAATCTTTCATTTTTCAATCATGTAACGTATGAGAGATTATTACATAAATTCTTCCTATCACATTATCTATAGGTCCTTTAATAATATTATTCTATGTCAATATTTTTTCCACATTAGATCATATAAAAGAAACTCTCTAACAATGTTGACAAACGACAAACGAGAGAAAAAAAAATCCTTCCAACTAGAGTATCAATCATACTGCCAATTTTAGTTTCTTGCCAACGTGAGTCTATCCTTGCTTTGATTGTTTTTTATATGTAATGTTCTTTGATTTTGGGACGTTGTTCAATATCTCAATTTTTGTAAGTATTTACTTTGTTAATAATATATATTTGAATTAGTGGCGAAGCAAAAAATTTTACTTATATCCAAACAAGTATAAATATTTTGTATCCCAAAAACATTTTACTTGGAAACACTTGTAAATGGAGAGGAGTTTTATTAATTAGTAATTAAGTAATTTAACATTTGGCTATTGCCTTTTTTATCTTACGATTTTTTAATATAAATATTAATGTTACATTTTGTCTAAGAAAACTCATTTATAGTATTATATTCGTCTATAAATCTTTTTAAAAAAATATGATTAGGTCAGACAATGGTAAAAGTGGAGGAACAAAAAGAATAGGCAACAGACATGTACTCTGAAAAAAAAAAGAAGAATAAAAGCCTGGATAGACAGAGAAAGTTAGGTGGAAGGAATTTTTACAGCATTGAATTCTATAGGAACATAACCCATGGGAACGGGTTTTAATACTATGTTTGCTAGAAACGATAAAGATAAAAGGATTAATAAGATAATTAAATTATTGTTAAATAACAGATAGTATTGTAAATCTCAGTTATTTGATTAATTTTTTTTATTTTTTATCATTTCGTCTTTTATACCAAAAAAAAAAAAGAATTGTTTAAAGAATAAAGCGCGTGACAGGCAAGTTTACTTTTACTCGCCGGGACTCAAAACTTCATTGACATTTTGGAAGACAGATATGGGCAGGGAGGATGGCGACTGGAGACCCAATTGACCTTATCATGGGCCCCTTCTGTAACGAAACCAAACCAAACTCAAACTCGGACTAGCGTAGAGTGGAAATGTACATAGATTACAGACAGGTTTGTAAATTGGTTAAATTCCAGGAATTGTCCACCCACCCACAAAAAGCGAATTAAATTAATGGTGCATGCACCCTTAATTCCATCGAGAAAGTTCACAGGTCCCAATCTTCTGGATTTAATTAAATCTTAGTCATCCACGAGGTTGAAAAGTTTAGCAGACAAAGAGGATTACTCGCCCAATAAAAATATATATATTCACATGGTTACCATAAAATAAACTTAATATTGAGTCTTCAATATGGTATGGCTATTTTATTGGGTGAAAACCGACAAGAGTTAAGCCAGCTGGTTGACTAATCTGAAAGAGAATAAAGTTTTTTTCTTTCAACCTGAATCTGAACAGAAGAAAAATAGTAGTTTCCAAATTTCCAGAAAAAGATGAGTAATGGGTGAGAGAATGTTGCTGTGGTTGTTGTTACGCGTTTGTCAACTCAGACTGACGACGTAACGTATCTCGTTTATCTCGCGATTTTCTGGTCATCACCAGCATTATTCGATTTTCTTATATTATTATGATACTAGTTTGAAAAGTATCATTATTCATTAGATTTGAATTAATACAATGTTATATACATATTAATACAATATTCATACTAAAAAAAAAAAGCTCTCAGTTGAGTCTTAATTTTAGTTTAGGTATAATGAATAGAGCTTGTTGTTGAACATATTATTAAATTTATAGATTTATTAAATAAAAAATTTAATCGATTAAATTCAAATAAATTTATTTTTATATTAAATCAAGCTTGAGTTAAAAAATATAAAATTAAATTGAATTTAAATCAAGTTTCGAATTTTAAATTTAAAATCAAGCTCAACTTAAAATTTTATAATGTTTTAATTTGATTTAATTTAATTAAACTACACTTCTATATTAGATGATAAAAAAACCCATGTGTAAAAAATAATTAAAATAATATACAATAAAATCTTGATTTAATGTCAGTAAAATTTTATTAATAATGTCTAAAATTTTGGTAATGAAAATTAATACAATATTTACATTTAAAAAAACCTCTCAGTTGAATCATAATTTGCACTTAGGTATAATGGATTGAGTTTGTTGTTGAATATATTATTAAATTTGTAATTTTATTAGATCATAAGTATAAATTGATCGAATTTAAGTAATTTAATTTTTATTTTAAATTAAATCCGAATTTAAAATATAAAATTAAATTGAGTCTAAATTAAGTTTCGATCTTTAAATTTAAATTTAGAGCAAAGCTCAATTTCAAACTTTACAATGTTTTGATTTTATTCAACTCGATTATATTCTAATATTAAATGATAAAAAAATAGATCCGTACAAAATAATTAAAATAATAGATAATAAAATTTTGTTTTAGATTTCACTATCAAACCAAATCTCCTAATCCGAAAGCTCAATCTTCATCCCTATCATGACAATAGATTTTGGTTCTTAGATACTTAGGCTCCATTAAATATTGTTTGGATTAAGTTTGCTTGACTACTAAAAAATATTATAAATAATTTTCCTTAATAAAAATGATTAAAACCATTTTTTTGTGAATAATTTATTTCTAACATATTAACAAAAAATAATGGAATAAACCTGACTTTGTTGGCCGAACATCCAATTCCAAAGGTACTCATCATGCAATGGGCCTAACAGGTATTTTCTTTAATACCCATTTATTGGGCTACAGCCCATTTTAGGCCTCTTCGAGGCCCCAACCTCCTTTTTTATTCAAAAAAATCATTAAACTGCCCCGCCGATTATCCCCGTAAGGTCACTGGACCAATTCAGGAAGCAAATTAATTAATTTACCTAAACCGCACAAAATAACTGATTTCATTAGGAAATGTCCCAAGTTGTATAAATTATATATGGATAAAAGGGAAAACTTATGGCGTGGAATGACTAAAGAAGCTTATCAAGAATTGTTGGAAGAAGAGGAAAGTTTGATTGAGGAGCAATCAACTTAAAGCTGTTGAGTTTATTACCAGGATTCTAATGATATCGGTTGATAAACGGATTCAGTTAGATAAGACAGCTGATTTTAGGAGAGATTTTGGTTTGCCAACTGAGATTAGGACCAAGTGGGTGAATCAGTATCCGCAACATTTCAGGGTGGTAAAATCTGAAGACGAAGTAGAGTTTCTGGTTGGAGCTTAATATAAATAGGAATCCTGCTTGGGTTGGGCTATTACAATTTGAATGATGAGATTGGGGTTACTTTCTTTGCCTTTTCCTTTGTAAGTTCCTTCCTAATTACAAGAAGGTGAAAGGACGCACGAAGGGAAGAAGATTGAAGATTTTCAGAAAAGGTCTTATATGTCTCCGTATGCGGATGCTAGCTAGGGAGCTGAAATTAAGCTGGGTCATTGGAATTTGACAGAAGAGCAGTAGCTGTTATGCATGAGTTGCTTAGCTTTACTATTGAGAAGAGATTGGTGACCGATCATCTCACTCATCGCCGACGGGAGCTTTGATGCCATAGAAGTTTATGACACTTCTTTTGAAGCATTTCGGCATCTTTTATGTTTCTGAAAGGGGGAAGAGATTTTGAAGCATTTGATCGATCGATGTAATAGATGTGAAGATATTCACAGTTCAAGTAGGCCCTTTGAAAATTCCTCAGAGCTCATTTACTTTTGAACTTCAAATATCTGAAAAATGATTGGTGGTTCTTGGTATGAGTTAACGTTTGTTTCCCAAAAAGGTTTTGTTGCTTTTCACTTTGATGAGGTACATGGATTCAAGTTGGGGTGTCAATTGTATCTCCATAGCTTCCTTGGTAATTGGTATATATCCAACGTGGAACGAAAGCATTCAATATCATATACCATTTTGCTTGCTTCTGATCATATTTTAGTATTTAGATCCAGTTTGCAGATTTTGAAATTTGGAAACACAGTTTCTCCATTATTTTGGGCTTCTATGGTAACTTACACATCATTTATTAGGCTAAACTAGAATCTTTTATACAGTTTTTAGATACCTAATTAAACCAAAATCATTTGATTTTAGATTTCAGTGTTTCTATTTTAATGAATTAATTCTTTCTTAAGAGTATAATTAAGCCGAACTAAGTTGATATAGTAAAAATTCGAGTTTAAGCTTAACTTGAAATTTGTTATTTGAAATTCAATTCGATCTCAATCGAATTTTAATTTTCAAATTCAAATTCTACTTGAGATTAATATCGAATAATTTGAATTCACTTGATTAAAGTTATTTATTGAATAAAAACCGAACTCAATCTTTATGTTTGACTTCAAGCTCAATTATTTATGTTCAAATTAGAGTTCA